AAAAAAAAAAAAAAAAAAAAAAAAAAAAAAAAAAAAAAAAAATGTATGCACACCAAAATGGCTACCTGCACAAACAAGTAGAAAACAAAAAAAAAAAAAAACAGGAAGACAAAATAGAACAAAACAAAATACCCAATTCGGCACACACACAAAGGCCCACTCGCACGAAGCTACAAAAGCGCGGCGTGCGCCGTCGACTGCTTCCTTGTAAGGAGAAAATCCACGACGAAGGGGCCAACGGGTACTTCCGCCTGAACGTTCAGGCAATTTTTTGGAAAAAACGGAGAAATTCTTTTCTGAATAGCTGACTTGTTAATGTCGTAATAGTTTGGCTGCGCAATGTGCTGATAGGCCCTGGTCAAGAGCTGATACAAGCAGAGAAGAAATTTTGGAGAAAACTTCCTAAAGTCGTAGACGGAGTGTAGCACAAACAGAGTGACATGCATTTGGTGTGCAAATGATTTGCTATTTGCTCTCCTCTCATTTAACAGAAGCAGGATGGAGCTGACCAACTTCATGTCAAAGTAGGAGAGGAACATGGACGAGTAGCATATGGACACCAGGGCCAAATCGGTAAAGGTGTGTAACTTGCTCGAAATGTTTAGCTTCAAGTTAGAAAAAATGTCCATCGGAATGCGCAAATTCAATTTGATGAGCGCAACGTAAAACAGTGTCAAGTTGCGACTGTCCAGAGAGTTTATTATGTGTTTTTTCTTTTTAACCAAGTTGATAATAAACGCTTCATCTCTTATATGTAATTTTCCAAAAGCGTGTAGCAGCATGGCTACATTTCCATGTTGCAGGAAATGTTCCTTATTGCTGACCTTTTTTTTGATAAGATAAAAAATTTTTAAATCTCTGAGGTTGAAATTTGCATATACATTAGCAAGTATGGCCCACTCGGATAGTTCAAACAGGTCAGCATTCTTCGAAATGTATTTACACAGGAGGGAAAAAAATGTCTTATTGAATAAGTTACACTTGGAATATGCATTAGCAATCATCACCATTTCCACTGGTTTGAAGTGGTCAAATTTTGCACAAATATGAGGTAAAAAATTGACAAACAAATGGGTATATTTTTTTTCTCCCAATTTTGAATATGCATTTAATATGTTGGCGATTTCTTGTTCGTTAAAATTTTCCAAATTTTTTTTTACTGCTTCAATCAAACGACAAAATAACATTTCACTCCCCAGATTTAATTTACTATATGCATTGCATATGTTGCTAATTGACTGGCAACTCAGTTCTTCTATCCTTTCACAAATCTGCTGCTCCATATACTTGAACAGGTTAGCATCCCCGTAATTAAGTTTCGCAAAGCAGTTAGCTATTTGTGAAATGTCAAATGTATGTAATTTTTCATCCTTGTTATTTCTTCTAACATAAATGGAGGCCTCTCTCAGGAAAGGCTCATTCAGTACGTAAACTCTTGCGAATGAATTCAAGATTAAGGCTAACCATCGTACACACATGGTCTTGTGGACATCCTCATTGCGTAACAATGCGGTTAGCCTTCCTCCTAGGGTGTTCCAAAATGAATGGTCCTCAAATCGGTGTGCAGCCAGCTGGTTGCATATGAGTGACAGGGACATGAAATAGTCCTTACTGTTGATGTAGTGCTGCCGCAGGTGTAGGCTCTTAATCACCTGGGTGCTTGCGTACACCAGAACGCGCCTCAATTCCTCGTGGGGGTCTCCTGCATGTACAGGTTTGCGCCCCACCAGAGGAATTGATGTGCATTCTGGCGACCCTTCACAAGAGGGCTCTTCCCCCTCTCCATCCATCACGTGGCCATTCAGGCGGGGAGCGAAGCGATCAGTCAGGCGGTTTGTTAAGTCGCTACCCAGTTGGTTCCCCGTCTGCTGCTTCCTGTGTCCACCAAGCGGAGTTACCACCCCGGGACCAATTTCGCGCTTGACCCCCTTTTCATCATTCCACATCCCGCTGCATTCAATGGGTCGCTTACTCCGCAACGTTTTCTTGGTGCTCATTATTCGAAGGTATATATGCTTGAGCATTTTTTTTTTTTTTTTTTTTTTTTTTCATCTGCTTTGCTTCTTCTGGGAGTGTCTGCTCTGCATCGACGGGGTTCGCATGGAGCAGATGTGCATACATATATATATATATAAAACGCATACGTCGCTTCGCGCGTTGACTTTGCATTCTTGCACGTTCGCTTTACACGATTTGTGCGTCCGTTGTCACCTCATCCCATGTTACGACCTCTACCTCTTAAAAGTAGAATGAGCGATTGGGGGCATCCGCTTGGTGGTAGGTTTTGAGGAGGGAGAGAAACGCTGGTGGATTACATAGCAGAGTCGAAAATGATCCTGACGCAGTAATTTTTTTTTTTTTTTTTTTTTGCCTACTCAATGCAGTACACGCTTCGTAACCTTTTCACGCCGCCCCGTTTGACTCTCTCTTCATGTTGGATCCTCACCGGGGATCGGTGTACATAAATAAATGTGACGAACGGAATTGCGCTGAGTTTGGCGAAACTTCTCCATGACAAAGTTTACTCTCCATGGGAGGGAAGTGTGCCCTCCATGAGTGAATTCATTTTAGGGAACCGGCTGTTGGTTGGTTTGGTCCACCATTAACCGACCGCTAACTGTTCTCAAGTCGACCTTCCTGATTCAAATGTGTCACGATTAGGAAGTGCTCCGTCGTGACCACTCCCACGTAACTACTCCTTCTTCATCCCTTGTCGACCCACCATACCGACAACGAATGGGTAAGGTCACAACGGCTAAGCTAAGCCCAGCGTTGAAGGGGCTGGTACGCGAAACGTCTTTTTTGCCTCCTCCCCCCATACGTGGTCTTATACACCAGTGCAAAGAGTAACAACCGCATGTTCCAGGTTACACCCTTTTTTTTTTTTTTTTTTTTTTTTTTGCCCATCAGGAAAGTCCTTCTACAACCGCAGCACCCGGCTGTGGTGGGGCCACTGCTACCTGCGGATCGGTAGTCGCTTACAGGTGCGGCTGAACAAGGGTGTGAAGTTTTCTCGCTTCGAGCACATCGGGCGGTTTATCGAGTTCGCCAGGTAGTTTGCCGCGGGGGAACAAGCGGTCCAATGTACCGACCCTATTATCATCCCTACTCTGTCCCCATATAGCATCTCTCTCTCTCATTTAGTGTGTCATTTTTTTTTTTTTTTTTTTTTTGTCCCCCTTCCCCGACGACACCTCAGGAATTCACGGTCCCTTCGCGCCGCCACGCTAAGCAAATGTCTAGGAAGGAATTTCTGGGGCACCAACTTTTACAGCACAGGGGAGCCCAAAACAGGAGAGAACCCCCAGCAGATCTCAAAGTCGACGCAGAATGAAGGTAAATGAGAGAGGGGGAAGTGGCTCCGTGTTGCACTGAGCAGTTAGCCAAACTAGGACAACTCACGTGTTCATAAAAGCTTTGCACGTCCATCACACACATGTACGTAAGGCATGTATACTGATCTGTGATTTGCTACACTGTCCCCTTTACACACACGCACACGCACTACTCGCCAGGAGCATACATCTACGCCATCGAGCGAGGAAGAATAACCCCTTCAGAATGGGAGTTGAAGAAGCTGGAGTCTGTTCTTGGGGTTCCCCTACGAAGAGAAAAGCAGAAAACACTGCTTAGGAGATTGTAAGGTGGGTCCCCCTCCACATTATGCAATCCTTGTACTCGAGTGATACACCCTGGTAGCACTCCCTCCCCCCCCCCCCCCCCCCCCCTGTCGTTGGTTTGCTCTTCGCTTGAACATATTAAGAAAAGTTTACCCAGCGATATTTGTTCTGTGTTGTGTATGCCAATGGGGAAGTAGCAAGATGGAGAGAAGAACAGTATAAGGGCATTTTTTTTTTTTTTTTTAAAGTGTGTAAACTGTGCTTAATTCACTTGGCATCGTTTGTGGACTCTTCTGAGGGGTCATATCCTTTCGGTGAGTTGATTGAAGAGAGGTGGTGTGTTGTGTGTAGGGAGACACTTTTCCTTTGGAGGGACTACTCCCCCCCTCAATTTGTACCTCACCCACATGTTGCGGACCCATTTCTCGTTATTCTCCCACTTACACAGGTCTACCTTTTTTTTTTTTTTTTTATAACATAACTGACCTGCATGTCACACCCCTGAACAATGGTATATAGCATTATTTTTAATTCAATGTTGAATCATTTTGGCCAATCGTAGAAGTAGCCACGCCTGTTTATTCATATGCACCTATTGGATGGGGAAGCTGTTAGTGTGCAGTGGCTGGTTAACCTGAACGTAGGGGTCAGTCGGTAAAAGGGAGTCCGTCGCAAAACAGTTGGTGAAACACACATTACCACAGTGGAGGTAAAAACGCTCTTTCTACCATTTTGGGGACAACAAAAAAAGAAAAAAAAAAAAAAAAAAAAAAATGTGCACCCTAAATTTGCGCTAAGTCACTGTCGTGTGGCTTCAACAAGTGGCAACGACTCTGACGGCGCTGCGAATTGGACTGTGGAGAAATTATCCCCCGGGGGACCCTTGGGGAAAAAAAAAAAAAAAAAAAAAAAAAAACTGCCAAGCGTGGATAGGCTATGTGCCCACACCCCACGACGAGGCACAATTGTGCGAAACAAAAAAAAAAAAAAAAAAGGA